TCTGTCTATTGGGGGCTGATCTAAACACATGCAACATAACAGCCCTTTAGAACACAAGGCTATAAAGATTCTTTTGTGAAGCTCTAATTAAATTTTGTGCTCAAGAAGTATAAGGAACATGTTATAACCGACTCACTTATGTTTTTGACACTCTCGCTTGTTGAGAGGGAGTAACAGGGAACACCACTGGTACGCTTCAGTGATCAGTCACAAATCACCACACCTTATAAACTTGTAATGCCATCACCTACATTATTCTTGTCAGTCTGTTCATTTTAAGATTAAAGGACACACCGCAGAGAGCTCTGCAAGAAGAATTACAGCATTTTGGTGCGCATGGTTATGAATTTGAACAGCGAGAAAGGGTAGGTGACCTATATACCTAGCCCAAAAGCAAAAATGTAAGATAAAATAGACTGCAATCTATAACAAGATTTTTTTTGTTAGTTTGTTTGTTCGTTATATTTGCTCTCTCTCATTAAATGTTTGCATTTAAGACTTCTTAATCTTGTGCTGGATTAAAACTAAGATATAGTATTTCTCTGTCTGGTCCAGCGCATTTAACAATTTAATTTATATGTAGGCTAATGTATAATTTTAAAGATTTTCGAGACATTAAAATAGTAAGCAGCTGCAAATTTGCAAAACAAACAAACAAACAAGCTAATTAACAGTGTTTGTGTTTATTCTCTGAATCTTGTTATTTTGCCATTAAGTGAAAAAAAATGGTAAATAAGAACTTCAGTCATTTTGAATTTCATATGTATTGAGCAAATTTAGTCCTCATTTTTGGTCAGGTTTTTTTTTTCTTGCTCCGTGTCAATATATTTTCATATTAATCTAGTAAAAATGGAAGTTATTTAAAATCTTCCAGATTCATAAATTGTGCAGTTTTTAAGATCACTATAGCCTACTGGTAGATGGGGTGGGTAGGCTACAGAAGAAGACAAGGACATCAATTTACAGTTTATGCATTAATTTATTGAATAATAATAATAATAATAATAACAATAATAATGATGATGATGATGATTTCCATTACACTAGACTAGATGTTAAAACTTCATGCTGATTTGTACTCAGCTTTCGCCAAGTCATGCACATACAAAGACTTAGCTTTACAGTAAACTATGCTTCTCCTTATTTTGATTTATATATTTATTTATTGCTATTTAAGTATTCTCCTGTAACAAATTAATGTTTTTTTTTGTCCAAATATAACTTATATCACAAAATAGTCGCCAAATATGGAAACTTGAGACCTTTCTGACCATTTGTGTTTGTCAAGATTAGAAAAGGTTTTGATTATAGAGTAGCCTAGTTAAAAATAAATGTTGTAATATGATACTTGACACCGCCCACTAGAATGGGTGGTAAACTAATACTTGAAGATTTAGCAGAAGTAAATAAAAAAAAAAAAAGAAAATAAAGAAGTAATTTTTTGTACTCATTTTTAAAGTAATTTAAAGAGGGCTTACGGTTATTCCACATGGTATTTACCCATTGTAATAATAATGTTCAAAGTGAATGACAACTATTTTGAAAGACCATGCATAAACCAAACCCTGAAACAAATTTTGTGATGGAATATTAGTGTTGATATAAACATTTAACTAACTGAAAAGATCCTGCCAGTATTTCAATTTTACTGGACAAGAATAAATTAAATGATCAGTGGTTTCAGGCTCTACTAAACAAAAAACACACTGATCTACTTCAAAACGGAATCTTTTATGCAAAACCTCAGCAGTAGGATACACATTATTGATAATCCTTAGCTGAACATACTTCAAATACACAAATACCAGGGGAAACACAGGACACACATGTAACAATAATGAGTTTTGTTATAAAATTAAACAAAATAGTTTAGATGACGAAAGTAGATGTTAAAACTTTATGCTGATTTGTATTCGACTTTCGCCAAGATAAGCACAAACAAAGACGTAGCTTTACAGTAAATTATGCTTCTCTTTATTTTGATTTATTTATTTGCTGTTGAAGCATTCTCCTGTACCAAATATATTTGTCCAAATATAAATTGTATCACAAAATAGGGGTCGCCATATATGGAACCTTGAGATCTTTCTGACCATGTGTTTTGTCAAGGTTGGAAAGGGTTTTGATTATAAAGTAGCTTAGTTAAAAAATAAAAGTTGTAATATTATACCTGACACCACCCACTAGAATGGGTGGTGAACTAAATTAAATATTTTAAAGTAGGCTACCATTCCCATGGTAAGGTACTCATAACCTGATGAATTTTATCACTGAATATATTCACACTAACAACAAACGTTACTTTCCATATAAGCCAAAAAAAAAAAAAAAAAAAAAAAAAAGAGCAAAGAGCAAATACATGATAAATGTATCTGGCTTACCTGCTAATAACATGACACTGAACAAATGTGTGTGTGTGTGTGTGTGTGTGTGTGTGTGTGTGTGTGTGTGTGTGTGTGTGTGTGTGTGTGTGTGTGTGTGTGTGTGTGTGTGTGTGTGTGTGTTTAATAAACAAATAACCCATAATGACCTTCTCAGTCATAGTTACAATTTTGTCAAATATATAGAAATGAAAATGAAGATGCTGAAGATGTCTCAGCATGCTGCCATTCAGACAAAATATTCTGACAATGCACCTATATCTCATCTATTTATAGCCTTATGTCAAGGGTGTGTGCCAATGACTTGCCAATGAATTCTATTGACGTGTTACACACTATATTCAGGGAACAGGGTTACAGTCAAGTAACGCAGACCATTTACTCAGGTTCTCCGACAGTTTTGTCCAGTTCCGTGCTCCCACTTTTGTAAACAGTACGTCTGCATCCGATCTTTGAATATTTGAAGAAATGTGGCGAAAAAAAGAAAAAAAAAAAACTGAATCCAGTGAAACTGAATACTCCATCCATGGGACATTGTGATTTTTTCACCTGGCATTTTTCCAGTTAAGTGCTTAGAGAAATAAGAAAGTATGGGCTGTTTCGGCCCAACATCTTTCCCCCCGAGTGCATTGATATATCCAGATCCAGATGCGGCTGGTTGAGCGGGTATCTCCACTGATCTCCGCTGCTGGTTCCAAGGCCAGCTTTGTTCTCTGATGTGGTCCCGATTGCTGTGTCAGTAGCAGTGGAATTGATAGTTGAGATGTCACAACGCATTCTCACCCCAAGGCGTCACCTTTGACCATGCTTCAATATTTGACGTTTTAGGCGCCCTTTAGCGTCACTTACATGACGCGATCCTACGGCGTCATCTAACTGACGCTAAAGAAAAGTTAAATATTTCTATGTTCCGTATCACTGTGTTGTGTTTGTTACATTTTAAGCCCTGTTCACACCGCCAGCGATTTTGTCGCTGTGTGTCGCTAGGCTCTGTACTGTGATGTAGCTTGTGTTAAACGTTAAATGTATGAATTAAACTCGCTGAGACTGTCGACAGTTTCTTTTCAATGCATCATTTTATTATCCATGTATGTGGTCACAGTCAAATCATATAAAACAGTAAAATCGTCCTCAAACTCTTTCTTCCTGCCTTGCCTGCCCTGCACTCGGTGACGTGAGCTCCACTGAAAGTCTTCTTTCCTATTCGTTGTCACTCACAAAAATCGCTTCTCATTTGCATAAAGTTGAAAATTCTCAACTTTTGTCACTTGTCTCTTGTCGATTGACACGCCCACATTCTGTCGCCAACGGTCACTGATGTCGCCAGCGTTCCATTGAAATGAATGGGATCTTGTCGCTTTGTCGCTGCGTGTCGCTGGCGGTGTGAACGGGGCTTTACTGTTTAGAAGATTGACGAGTCTTTAAATCGCCTTTATAAATTCTTTACAAAGCATGAATAGTCCTCAATTTAGATTAGCTCACAAAAATGGTAAACTAACCACTACTAAATGCTTTATAACTACCTGTATTTACTACATTTACTTACACTTTCTAAGTGATCTTATGAATGACTAACAACAGGGGCGCAACTACCAAGTTTCAGAGGGGTATGCAGCAAAAAAAAAAACCAACAAGCAACAACAAACTAATGGGCCGCCGATGTATGAGTTTTTGTATGAGCCGTTAAGACAAATAAATAAAAAAGGATGAGATATATATCGGCTGAAAAAGCATGTCGGCCCAGTGGAAATCTCCCGGTAGTCCCGATGGCCACCGAAATATGCCTGGATGTCACATTTTAAATCCTACCCGTTGGCTTTCAGCAATGGTTTCAATTTGGTTTCAATTTGGTTTCTTCTGATGCAAAACTCTCGACATCCACCTCCTCAGAACTGGATAGTCTCAAGTCCACATCATCATCAACCTGTGCCTCCACCCGGGCAGAAGTAACCGCCGCAGCGCGTGCTTCCAGAGCCGGGTGAGAGGCACTGGATCCCGCCGGAGAAAGCTGAGATAGGGCGGGGCCTGTCTCAACCTTGCCGGTGAGATCCATCTGCGATCCCCAAGACAAGCGTCGCTGCCCTGCCTTAACAGAAGCGGGACCCGAGCCCTGAGGAGCTCGCAGCAGACCGCTCTCCTCAAAGAGCGATTGTGAATGCTCACAATCGACTCCCTCGAGAGCCGACTGGGCATGCTGCAATCCCAAACAAGCCGCACACAACTCGTGTGAATCCCCACCCGTGATGTAACGAGTACAGGGGGGAACACACTTTATGTACTGTTCTCTTTTCTCACTCATTTTATATATATATATTATATATAAACTCCTGATATATCAGACAAACACAATCGACAGATCTCAGACACACACAGAGCTTGCTGAAGTAACAGAGCTGGCTTCTGGTGTGTTCAGGGGATATTTATAGCTTCCTGGTCAATGACTGGTTTTAAAGTTGGATCTGCTTCATGATTTAGTTGCTGAATCCGGTGTTGAACTCGTGGAGATTCTCGAAGCTGTCTTCCGTAAAATGCGAAGCACAGAGAGCTAGATTACGATCATCATTCTCAGGAACATAATCAAACATAAATAGTATCCATTGTTGATGAAGTACAGCGTCCATGGGAAGCTCGAAGACACAAGACCTGACAGCTGCGTGAACAACACACTCGACGAGCTGCTGGAGCTGCTGAAATATGCGCATGCCCTTTTCCGCATATTCCGGAGGGAGTGGTTGATGCAAATGTGTAGGTTAGTGACGTACCATAACCTAGCTGTAGTCCCAATCGAGTCGTTTTTGTAGGCAATATACTTCCTGATTTTTAAAAGACGATATCTCTACTTACACTGAACTTTCAGCACTGCAACTTTGCAGATACTGTTCATGCACCAACAGCAACATTACACACTATTTAAAATGAAAAAAGTGAAATCGCAGTCAACCCCCCCCCCCTTTAAATTTCAATGTAGTGAAACAACTGTTGCCAGGGGTGCTGCAGCACCCTCAGCACCCCTAGTTCCCACGGCCATGGTACTGACACTAAAACCCTGAAAACTTAGTAATTTCTATTTTGGGGTACTATACACGATACATATTGTCACAATCCACGATACATATTGTTGCAATATTGAATTGCGATATATTGTGGCACGATATATTGTTACACCCCTAGAAATTATTAATTGATCATTAACAAAGTATGAAAATACAACTATTAAACGCATTATAGATATGCTTATAAATCAAGAAAAAAGCATTAAAAAAATTCATTAAAAAAATACAAACATGTACATACATGTTGCTCACATATTATGGTATCCCTGTTTGTGCTAAATATAGTGTAATTTCACCTGTGCCATTAATGTGTTTATAAGCAACTGTCAGGGCATGTCAGAACATCTCAAGGATCCCAAATACACCTTGGTCCCCAGAGGGTTAATGTCTTCTTTATCTTCATCTGATTTAATATAAGGCTGTGACTGGAAGTCAGTTGTAGTTCTTTGTTTCTGTTTCCTTCAGTGATTCTGCTTATTAACAGCAGATGTTTATCACTAATAATCAATCATCATCCAATTAGTCACTTAATGATCTCATTAACTTTAACACTCTGTAGAGTGGGAAATATGTACTCTGAGCAGTGTTGATTTAACCCTGGGGATTTTGCTGTGTTGAAACAAAACCTAATTATATTTGTTTTACTTTTAGGTATGATGGCAGAAGGAAATCTGTCCTTACCATATGTAAGTAAATATATGTTAAATAATTCAGTGCATTTAACATTAAATTTAAGGAAAATATAACAGACTTAATAATACTATAATAGAAAAAGGAATATAAAAATAAGTGATATTTATAAGAACCAAAATTCAATTGATTATAAAAAAAGAAATAAAGAACAATGAAATATCTATTTTCACAGTATATTTGTGGTGGACGTTTTACGGATGTACGACAACACTGGCGACAAGCACCCCTCAAATATATTCAAACCTTGCGTCAACGTTGACAACTGATGCCGCAACTACAATTATTTATGACACCAGTACAACTGTTGGTGCAACAACAACAACAACAAATTTGGCATCCACAAGTAACCCTCCAACATCCTCAACTGTAGCAGAAACATTGACAACTGATGCTGGAACAACAACTATGTCTGACACAACAACAACTGTTGGTGAAACAACATCAACAACTTTGGCATCCACAAGTAACTCTCCAACATCCAAAGCCATAACAACAACGTCGACAACTGATGCTGGAACAACAACAATTTCTGACACAACAACACCTATTGGTGAAACAACATCAACAACTTTGGCATCCACAAGTAACCCTCCAACATCCAAAGCCGTAACAATAACGTCAACAACTGATGCTGGAACAACAACAATTTCTGACACAACAACAACAACTTTGGCATCCACAAGTAACCCTCCAACATCCAAAGCCGTAGCAACAACGTCGACAACTGATGCTGGAACAACAACAATTTCTGACACAACAACAACTGTTGGTGAAACAACATCAACAACTTTGGCATCCACAAGTAACCCCCCAACATCCTCAACTGTAGCACCAACATTGACAACTGATGCTGGAACAACAACTATGTCTGACACAACAACAACTGTTGGTGAAACAACATCAACAACTTTGGCATCCACAAGTAACCCTCCAACATCCAAAGCCGTAACAACAACGTCGACAACTGATGCTGGAACAACAACAATTTCTGACACAACAACAACAACTTTGGCATCCACAAGTAACACTCCAACATCCAAAGCCATAGCAACAACGTCGACAACTGATGCTGGAACAACAACAATTTCTGACACAACAACAACTGTTGGTGAAACAACATCAACAACTTTGGCATCAAAAAGTAACCCCCCAACATCCTCAACTGTAGCACCAACATTGACAACTGATGCTGGAACAACAACTATGTCTGACACAACAACAACTGTTGGTGAAACAACATCAACAACTTTGGCATCCACAAGTAACCCTCCAACATCCAAAGCCGTAACAACAACGTCGACAACTGATGCTGGAACAACAACAATTTCTGACACAACAACAACAACTTTGGCATCCACAAGTAACACTCCAACATCCAAAGCCATAGCAACAACGTCGACAACTGATGCTGGAACAACAACAATTTCTGACACAACAACAACTGTTGGTGAAACAACATCAACAACTTTGGCATCCACAAGTAACCCCCCAACACCCTCAACTGTAGCACCAAAGACGACAACTGATGCTGGAACAACAACTATGTCTGACACAACAACAACTGTTGGCGAAACAACATCAACAACTTTGGCATCCACAAGTAACTCTCCAACATCCAAAGCCATAACAACAACGTCGACAACTGATGCTGGAACAACAACAATTTCTGACACAACACCTATTGGTGAAACAACATCAACAACTTTGGCATCCACAAGTAACCCTCCAACATCCAAAGCTGTAACAACAACGTCGACAACTGATGCTGGAACAACAACAATTTCTGACACAACAACAACAACTTTGGCATCCACAAGTAACCCCCCAACACCCTCAACTGTAGCACCAAAGTCGACAACTGATGCTGCAACAACAACTATGTCTGACACAACAACAACTGTTGGTGAAACAACAACAACAACTTTGGCATCCACAAGTAACCCTCCAACATCCAAAGCCGTAACAACAACGTCGACAACTGATGCTGGAACAACAACAATTTCTGACACAACAACAACTTTGGCATCCACAAGTAACCCTCCAACATCCAAAGCCGTAGCAACAACGTCGACAACTGATGCTGGAACAACAACAATTTCTGAAACAAAAACAACTGTTGGTGGAACAACATCAACAACTTTGGCATCCACAAGTAACCCCCCAACATCCTCAACTGTAGCGCCAAAGTCGACAACTGATGCTGCAACAACAACTATGTCTGACACAACAACAACTGTTGGTGAAACAACAACAACAACAACAACTTTGGCATCCACAAATAACCCCCCAACATCCTCAACTGTAGCACCAACATTGACAACTGATGCTGGAACAACAACTATGTCTGACACAAAAACAACTGTTGGTGAAACAACATCAACAACTTTGGCATCCACAAGTAACCCTCCAACATCCACAACTTTAGCACCAACATTGACAACTGATGCTGCAACAACAACTATGTCTGACACAACAACAACTGTTGGTGAAACAACAACAACAACTTTGGCATCCACAAGTAACCCCCCAACATCCTCAACTGTAGCACCAAAGTCGACAACTGATGCTGGAACAACAACTATGTCTGACACAACAAAAACTGTTGGTGAAAGAACATCAACAACTTTGGCATCCACAAGTAACCCTCCAACTTCCAAAGCAGTAACAACAATGTCGACAACTGATGCTGGAACAACAACAATTTCTGACACAACAACTTTGGCATCCACAAGTAACCCCCCAACATCCTCAACTGCTACAGTAGCACCAAAGTCGACAACTGATGCTGCAACAACAACTACGTCTGACACAACAACAACTGTTGGTAAAACAACAACAACAACAACAACTTTGGCATCCACAAATAACCCTCCAACATCCTCAACTGTAGCACCAAAGTCGACAACTGATGCTGCAACAACAACTATGTCTGACACAACAACAACTGTTGGTGAAACAACAACAACAACTTTGGCATCCACAAGTAACCCTCCAACATCCAAAGCCGTAACAACAACGTCGACAACTGATGCTGGAACAACAACAATTTCTGACACAACAACTTTGGCATCCACAAGTAACCCCCCAACATCCTCAACTGTAGCACCAAAGTCGACAACTGATGCTGGAACAACAACTATGTCTGACACAACAACAACTGTTGGTGAAACAACATCAACAACTTTGGCATCCACAAGTAACCCCCCAACATCCTCAACTGTAGCACCAAAGTCGACAACTGATGCTGCAACAACAACTACGTCTGACACAACAACAACTGTTGGTGAAACAACATCAACAACTTTGGCATCCACAAGTAACCCTCCAACATCCAAAGCCGTAACAACAACGTCGACAACTGATGCTGGAACAACAACTATGTCTGACACAACAACAACTGTTGGTGAAACAACATCAACAACTTTGGCATCCACAAGTAACCCTCCAACATCCACAACTTTAGCACCAATATTGACAACTGATGCTGCAACAACAACTATGTCTGACACAACAACAACTGTTGGTGAAACAACAACAACAACAACAACTTTGGCATCCACAAGTAACCCCCCAACATCGTCAACTGTAGCACCAAAGTCGACAACTGATGCTGGAACAACAACTATGTCTGACACAACAACAACTGTTGGTGAAACAACATCAACAACTTTGGCATCCACAAGTAACCCTCCAACATCCAAAGCCGTAACAACAACGTCGACAACTGATGCTGGAACAACAACAATTTCTGACACAACAACAACTGTTGGCGAAACAACATCAACAACTTTGGCATCCACAAGTAACCCTCCAACATCCAAAGCTGTAACAACAACGTCGACAACTGATGCTGGAACAACAACAATTTCTGACACAACAACACCTATTGGTGAAACAACATCAACAAC